GTGAGTCTCCCAAGGCTCCTGGGCTGCCCAGGCATGAGACAGCTAGCTCAGCGCCTTGGTCAGACAACGCCGGCTGCAGTGTAGGCAGTGGGGTGAGCTGAGATTAAGGAAAGGGAGATCAATCAGGTTAATAATGTATTAGTCCAGGAGAGAGATGGCATGGCAGGGGCGGTGAGGGTTAGCAATGAGGCGATCAATGTGGGGGATATTTAGGATGTAGAATCAATACGTCTTGGTGGTTTTCCTTATGACTAATGCATGAAGACTGAGAAAATGTATGTCCGATCAATGGGAGTGCTCATGATTCCGAAAGTGTTCATCAAGTCAAAAACACTGCAAACTAGTTTGGTAGAAGGGAACAGTCTGTCTTGATTTTAAAAGCATGCTCCTCGCCATGGTTTCTCCCGCCACTCCTCTGACCTTTCACGCACTGTTGGCACTCGTCACACTGCTGCGTATGTTCAGAATGACTCTGCACTTGAACACGTCTCCTTCCCCTGCGGGGAGATCTGGGCGCTCAGAGCAAGGGCCGCCCCCGCACCCACAGCCCTGGTGCCCTCTCCTCTCGGGGAGCCAGTCCACAGGAATGGTTGACGATGGATTGGTTGGTGCTTAGAAGGGGATGACCCAGATCAAAAGGCCTCCCCATTCAAAGAAAAGTAACCCTTTAATTTGGGAATAATATTAGATCTACAGAAAAGCTCTAAAGATCATGCAGAGGCTCAGCCCCGCCTTTTAAAATCGGTGACAGTAGAACAGAGAGCCCCACATCGGTGCCGCCCTTGGACAAGTCGCACCATCTTAGCAGGCCTCAGTTTTGTCTTGATGAAAAGAAGGGGCAGTGCCTCCCTGCCTACGTGCTATCCCCACGTCACTGTAATAAAGTCACTGAGAAACGGCAGCCTGGGGTGCGGTGTCAGGGCGGCTGCCCCCCAGCCTGCTGCTCACTGGCCAGCCCACACCTTGCTCTCCCTGAGCCTGCTTCCCCTGCAGGCCCTGGGTCCCTAAGCGGGCAGGGGGCTGCCTTTCGCCACAGCCCCAGGGCTGACAGCGTCCAGCATATGGGAAGGTAGACAAATATCTGATGAAAAGGAAGGGAGAAGAGAGTATTAATGGGGACTGTAAATTGCTAGTTTATTGGGTCGTGGGATTCTAGAGTTGTGTCTGTGCCGATAGTCTCCCCCTCCCTGTACACACACTAGAATGACTTGTGGAAGGTCAAATGCCGGTAAGACGCAGACTGGGGTCAAGTGACACACTGCCTCCTGATGGGTGTGGAGATCTAGTGACAGTGTTGGATGACAGCAAGCCCCAGCTCTGAACAGCCCTCCGGCCAACAGCGACAGAAGCACCAGGCTGCTGTAATCAAACCTGACCCTAGAAATAAAGGGCTTTCCCCCAACAGCACAAGAAGTAACCTGAGATCCAAGCTGCCCAGGAGAGAGTCCCCACCCCTGCGCTCTCTGCTCCCCCGTCCCACCCCCACGTCCTACCCCACGGTAATGGGCTCTGCAGGGAGGGGCACGCCAGGCCAGAAAGGAAGATCCATGCATGTACAAGGATGGGGCACTGCCCACCTGACCCCGGCCCAGCCCCCCTTTCTCCAGCTCCTGGGCTCAAACCAGTCGATCCCCAGCCCCGGTCAGGGTCGTGCAGGAGGCAACCCATCAATGTGTCTCTCACATCGATGTTTCTCTCTCTCCACACTCCTCCACTCTATCTAAAAATCAATGGAAAAATATCCTCGGGTGAGGATTAACAAAAGATAAAGACAACCAGCCAATATATGTTCCCTTTTATAGAAATACACAAATCTATTAAGTATTGCAAAAAACAAACAAAAATCCCAAATCTAATCTAACTTTACCAATGTAACAGAAAATACAGGGGCAATAAAAACATGAGAAGCATAATCATGATCTACGGGACAAACAAATCCAGCTTTTTAAACAAATAAATTGCAAGAAAAAACTTTAAATGGAGAAGATGCCTATGGATTGTAAGAATTTAAAAGACATATCAATTGAAACATATGGAACTTATTTAGATTCTAATTTGAACAAAAACTTTACAAAATAATTTATGAGACAGAAAAATGTGAACACTGACTGAATATTTGATTACGCTAAGGAATTATTTTTTTTATCTGATAATAGTAGTGTGGCTATGTGCTTTTTAAAATAAGTTCTTATCTTTTAAAAATAGATTCTGGCCCTGGCCAGTGTAGCTCAGTTGGTTGGGCATTGTCCTGTTTCCCAAAAGGTTGCTGGTTCGATTCCCAGTCTGGACACATGCCTGGGTTGCAGGCTGGATCCCTGGTAGGGGGCGTGCAGGAGTCAGTCAATTGATGTTTCGGTCTCACAACGATGTTTCTCTCTCTCTCTCTCTCAAAACATCAATAAAAATATATTAAAAAATAAAAATAGATTATGAAATACTTAGGAATTAAATGTCTGAAATTTGCTTCAAAATTATATAGGAGTATATAAATATATTGCTAAATAAGTTATATATTTAAAGGCCTGTGTCCCACCCTGGCCGGTTGGGCTCAGTGGTTAGAGCATCAGCCTGTGGACCAGAGAGTTCCGGGTTCGGTTCCCACTAAGGGCATGTGCCTCGGTTGCAGTTTGTCCCTGGCCCCAGTTGGGGTCGTGTGGGTGGCAACCACTCGATGTCTCTCTCTCACATGGATGCTTCTCTCTCACTCTTTCTCCCTCACACTCTATCTGAAGATAAATGCAAAAGTGTCCTCAGGTGAGGATAAAAAAAAAGTAAAGGCCTGTGTTCCTATGATGATACAATCAAACGTGAACCTAATGCAGCCTCTAGATCTTATTATCACCTTGGGGGGGGGGAGGGAGAGGAGAATGTCTTAACATTTAGAATACAGTCAACCAAATACAGAAAGTGGGCAACTCTGTAGAAAAAAATGAGTTTTTTTTCCCACAAATAAATGGCATTAAAAAAGAGAGAGGGAAGGCCCTGGCCAGGTAGCTCAGTTGGTGAGAGCATCAGCCCAATACACCAAGGTTGCAGGTTCAGTCCCCAGTCAGGGCACATACAAGAATCAACCAATGCCCTGGCCGGTTTGGCTCAGCGTTTGGAGCGTCGGCCTGCAGACCAAATAGTCCTGGGTCCGGTTCACGCTGAGGGCATGTACCTCAGTTGCAGTTTGTCCCCAGCCCCGGCTGAGGTCGTGTGGGTGGCAGCCACTCGATGTGTCTCTCTCACATCAATGTTTCTCTCTCTCTCTCTCTTCCTCCTTTTCTCCCTCCCACTCTATCTGAAGATAAATGCGAAAAATGTCCTCAGGTGAGGATAAAAAAAAAAAAGAATCAACCAATGAATGCTTAAATAAATGGAACAACAAATCAATGTCTCTTTCTCTCTCCTTCCCTCCCACACTCTCTAAAAATCAATAAATAAAAATGTAAAAGAGAGAGAGAGGGGGTAACTGTCAAAAGCATACCACAAAATGCAACTTATCTTCATTGTTCATTTTACCTTAAACAAGCCAACTGTGGAAGGCATTTTCGAGGCAATTGGGGAAAGTTGTACATGGACTGGTTAACAATAATAAGGAATTACTACTGTTGGCTAGATATATTCATAGTATTGTGACTGAGTTATTAGAAAGCCCTATTTTTAAAAGATATGCACTGAAGTATTTACAAATTAAATGAATTATATCTGCCATGAACTTTAAAAAATATCCCAGCCCTGGCCAATGTGGTTCAGCTGATTGGAGTGTCGTCCAGTTCACAGAAGGTGGTGGGTTCGATTTCCGGTCAGGGCACATACCTAAGTTGGGGTGTGTGAGGGAGGCAACTGATCAGTATTTCTCCTTCACATGGATGTGTCTCTCTCCCCCTTCCTCTGTCTCTCCAATAAAAAAATAAACTAAAATAAAGTTCTTTGTTTAAAAAAAAAAAAAAAATATATATATATATATATATCACACACACACACACACACACACACACACACAAAGGCAGGAGGGGTGTGTGTAGGACATGAAACAAAAATGGCATAACATTAATAATTGTTGAAGTTGGGTTCATTATATCAGGTTCATGTATGTTTGAAAACTTCCATAATAAAAAGTTAAAAAAAATATAGAACATTTAGAAAATAAAGCTAGTTTTTGCTATTAACTACTTGAATTTAAAGAACACGAAGAGCCCTGGCCAGTTTGGCTCAGCGGTTAGAGCGTCGGCCTGCGGTCCGGAGAGACCCGGGTTCGGTTCCCGCTAAGGGCACGTACTTCGGTTGCAGTTTGTCCCCGGCCCTGGTCGGTCGTGCGGGTGGCAGCCACGCGATGTGTCCCTTCACGTCGATGTTTCTCTCTCTCTCTCCTTTCCTCTCTCTCCCTCCCACTCTATCTGTACAAAAAATGGAAAAATATCCTCAGGTGAGGATAAAAAAAAAATAAATAAATAAAGAACACGAAGACCCATCAAGTTTGGAGGTGAGGGAGGTGACAAGGCAGAGAAGCCTCTGAACTTGACCTGAGCCTAGCAGGAAGGGTGACGGAGATAAGAATGGGCAGGAACCAAGGCACACTGGGGTCAAAATCCTCACCTGCACATCAGGGGAGTTCGTGTTACTGTAGTTGACACTGGGTGCTTGCTCCATCTCCTTGGACACACTGAACCCTTTGAGTGCCTCCACTCCCAACTCTTCCACCCCTTTTTTCTCCCCCACATTCCTAAAGGAGCCCCCGAATACAGGGGGTAGCACAGCCCCACCCAATCGCCAAAGGACTACGGAGTATTGGTCTATGGCTCCACCTGCTGGTGATGCTGGGAACTGAAGCTGCCAAAACAAAACAAAACGGCTTGGATAAGAAGGGAATGGAGGATAATTTTTGAGAAATCTGATCCTTCTCCAGCAGAAAAGATAAATACAGGCCAGTTAAACATATAAGAAGCCTTTAATTTCATCACCATAAACATTATATTCTGATTGCTCACATACAGTATAAAATATTTACTCCACTACATAAATAAGACATGACGTTATTGCAAACGGCACTTAAAACCCCCCAGAGATATGCCCTCCTTAGCCTAGGCAGGAGGTGCTCCTGAGATTCTGTGCCAGAGTCCCCAAGCACAGATATGCCCTGGGGGCTGAGAGGGATAAAGGTTCAAGGAACCACGTTGGGTGCTTCTGGTCCAGAAACAGCCCCAAAGAGAGGCTGTGAAGCCAATAGAGAAAGGTGGGGGCGGGCAGCTCCTTCATCAGCCCAGTCCCAGAGGAAGCAGAGGGGAGCGGGGTGGGGCAGGCTGGGCCAAGAGAGGAGGGGAGGCAAGGGAGGCTGCTGAGACCTGAACCCCACCCTCGGCCTTTACCCAGCCCTGGGGCAGAGGAGTTGGGATCTCAGTTGGGGTTAGCAGAGTTTCAAAGCTCGAGGCAGTTTTAGGGCCAGGCCAATCACTCCAAGAAATGAAGATTCTGGCATTCTGGCAACGCTTAGCCCAACAGCCAGTCATCTCAAAGACCCAGTCGTCAGGATGTCACTTCCTAGACACCGACATGGCAGAGCTGGGAATCGATTCCCCTCTATTTAGTTAAATAAATAAGTTAAATATTTAAAGGCCTGTGTCCCTATGATGGAGACACAGGGACCAACAAGCCATGTCCTGATAAGACACAGGGCTGGGGGAACCAGTGGAAAGGCAGTGCTGTGGGCCAGGCCGTGTCCCCTCTCCCCTCAGAAATCTGCCCCCCAAGTAACTTTTATACTTTCAAACCCTGTGGGGGAGAGTTTCACACTAGAGCAACACTGGGAGAACCTACAGGATATGGGGGCTTGGAGATGGGAGACCTGGTGGCTGAGTTCACATAGCTCCCAAATACCTTCTCTTGGTATATCTTGATCAGGACACTAGCTATTAACCCTGAGCCTGGGTAATCCTGCTAGAGTCCTGCATTCCAGTGCACGGTGCTAATCAAATACCCTGACCTTCTTCTCTCCCTCTGTAAGTCCTGCCTTAGGCCCATCTGCAGTCAGCCACAGCCCTGAAGATGGGAGCGGTGGGAGGGAAGCCCCAGCGCCCTGTCTGTGCAGCTATGCACCTTACCGCCGTGGGGTGGCAGCAGAGAGCCACCCCATTTTGGCAGCAATAGAAACTGGGAGGCCAGCCCCACAGCCCTATAGCGCCTGGAAGAAGGGGAGCTGGGACCCAGTGAGGCAAGCCCTCCTTCAGTGGGTAGTAAGTACTCTACACTGAGTATTTGGCCAAGTCATTCTTGTCAAATACTACCCGTGTAGCAAAGTAAATGGCAACCAGACCCAGGCCTGCGGCTGATACCATGTAGGCAGTGACAGACTGGCTGAGCTGGACAATAGAGCCCATAAACAGGGACGGGGCCACCTGGGACAGCAGGAAGGCACTGTCCAGGATGGCAAGGTCCAGGCAGATGCCCCTGCCTGAAACGACCCGGGCCTCGGGCGGCTCGCCCACCACCACGCGCATGGAGACGTCACAGGCAGAGGCCCCGCAGAGCGCAGGCGCGGATGGGAGCAGGCCGCTGCCTCCAGCACCCACGTGTCCATTGGGAAAGGGGGACCCGGCCTTCGGGCCCAGTGGGAAGCTGGTCATCAGGCTGTCCTCACTGGCACCCCCTCCAGCATCTCCTCGGTACTTGGGCAGGAACACCTAGGGGAAGGAAAGGGGGACAAGGACAGGTGTGTACCCAGGCATGGGAGTCCCCCGGCTACGAGGACAAAACAGACCACAGGCATTAATAAAAATCAGGCAGCAGGTCAGAAAACTAGGCAGACCCTGCTTGGTCTAGGACTAGTCAGAACCCTCCTGAGGACTGGGAGAAGGGGAGGGGGCAGGGATAGGACGAATCTGAAACTAGAAATCTAGGTCTCTGGGCTCTCCTGGAACTGGTGGATGGCAGACACATGCAGTACTGCAGGTTGGGAAATGAACAGAACCCCAAGGGAAAGGGAACGACAGGCAGAATGAAGACAGGGGAGTAGAGACGTGTAACAACAGAGGAGTAAAATCCGAGGCTGGGTCCCCTGATGGCCCAAACCCCACACGGGCTCTCCTAACCCTCTTCCTTCCTTCCCCCACCCCTTGGCCACTGGGAAGTCCTCAGCGCCATCCTCAGAGTGGAGCTCTGCCTCCACTGGCATCCCAGGCCCTGGCTGAGCGGCTGCCCTACCGTGAAGTCTGTGGCCCCAGACTTGAGGCAGGGAGGGCCCAGCAGACGCAGCCTCAAGGAAGAGAGGTACAGGGGGAACCATCCTCCCCGGACTCCACGCCCCGGCTGTGCTAATGATGGAGCTTTCTCCCTACCTGCTCACTGTTGCCTTAGAGCAGATCCACCCGGCCTGCCCTGCCCCCAGCGGCCCAAGCCTCCTATCTCAGGATGAGGCTACGACGTATCAGAGTGTCCCCATGCCCACGAGTGCCTAACATGAAAGAGTTCTGGAGCTGGCTGCATTAGATCTGCGAACCATGACAGAGCTCAAACCTGACCCCCGGGAGCCCATGACTCATCCAAGTGGGCAAAGGCAGGTGCAGGCGACACACACAGCCAGGTGTGCCATCAGCAGCTGCTGGACTGGGGCTCCCTGCCTGTGACCCCAGGAAAGACCAGTGAGGCTGGAGCCTGCAGAGGCCCCTGGAGATAGACATGCTCCTCAGTCCACGGGGAGGACCGGCCCCAGGATGTTCTCTGGCACAAGCGCACGTGCCCAAGCCTGGCCTCTGACATCAGCCCCGAAGCCTGCAGCCCGGGCAGCAGAAGAGTGGAAGCTGATGGGGTGTGCAGACAGGGGTCTCAAGAACCAGGTTCCCCTACCAAAACCCTGTCCCTCCCTCCATGCCTTCCACTCCTGCAGTTACCAACTTGGTTAGTCTTCCAGCTCAGTGCGTCTCTGCTACCCCACTCATGTCTTCCCTAGTCTGGAAGCTCCGAGAACAGACCTGCATCTTTGCCCTGGGGACACCCCAGCTTCTCGCCCTTCTGGGCACGGCTCTGCACCCAGGGCGGTAGCTCAGTGAGGCCAGTGGAGGGGACAGAGTTGACCATACAGCCTGGCCAGAAGGCTGCCCACAAAAGGGGACCCCTCGAGGGGCTGGTTAACATGAGACCCCCTGACTGACAAAGTGCCCAGGCGAGTGTCGTCAGGGCGTCAGGCTGAGATCTGCTGTGGGGGTGGGGGAAGGGAACAAAGGCAAAGGAGTGAGGCAGAGAAAGAAAAGAGAATTAGATAGAAGATAAATCACAGGAGGGGACAGTAAGGAGCCTTCCCCATCTAGGAGACCAAAGCAGGCACAGGTCAGTCACAATGCCTCTCCCAGCCTCGCCCTGAAGACGGAGCAGAGCTGCTAACACCAGGCCATCCCCACTGGCCATCTGCTGCAGCCTGGCCCCAGAGGGCATCTAGTCTAGCCCCCTGCCTCACACAGAACCATCCAGCGCAGTCTGAGGGCTTCTGTCGGCCTGATTCTTCAGGCTTCCCAGAGGAGGATTTTACATTTCCTGCAATCATCCACTCAAGTGTTTTTATAATCCTGACACCAGGAAGTCGTTCCTAGAATTTAATCTAGACCCTCCTTCCGCAGCCCACGTCTCTGGCCCTGGGGCTACATGAGCTTCCTCTCTGATCAAAGATTGCCTGCTCAAACTATTCCTGCAGGACCTGGACCTGGTCCTGGGCTAGTCAGCCCGCTCCACCTCCACAACCCCCGCGTCCTGAGTAGCGAGTAGAGTAGCATCTGGTGTGCGTACCTGCTTCTCCCGGTGGTAGAGGGAGGCAAGGGTGTAGGGCAGAATCTGCAGGGTGGAGAAGGTGAACCCGGTGAGCGCCGCTGAGGCGGTCACAACAGCCACACTGCGGGACAGGCACGTGGCGCCAGCAGCCACAGGGAAAGCCACCACACTGGCCAGATAGACGGCCCGGGTGCCGAATCGCTGCACCAGCCGGTCCATGACCAAAGAGAAGAGCAGGGAGATGGCACACTGCAGGAACAGCCCCAGGCTGCCCATCCGGACTCCTGGACAGGGAGGCAAGACCGAGGAGGTCAGCCGGAGCGGGAGGGGCCCAATGCAATGGGGGGGGGGGGGGCTCAGAATTAGAGGTCACGGACACCTGCTGCCCAAGACCTGCTGTAGATCAGCCCTGCTCCCTAGCACCCTCCCCACCCTGGATCAGCAGGAGTCTAGGTTGTTCCACTGACCTCAGGGGCTGTGGCCAGAGCTGCTGGCTAAGGGCAGAGAAGGATGTTCTGAGGGTTAATGGGAGCCTCACACCTCAGCTAGCAGGAGGGTGAGAGGGACAAAAAAGGTAGTTCTGCCATTGGCTCTAAGAGAGTTCCAGAACACTGGAGTCAGCAAGGGGAGCAGAAAACACACTGAAATTGGGGCCTGGCAGACCTGACACCTCCCCCCCAGCCCTGACTGCACTCCCTTTGGACTTTAAATCAGCTCAGCCTTTTCCTCTGTCAAGTTGGGACAAGGACCCTGATCGAACTCCCAGAGCAGCCTCGGGCTGTTGAGGCTGCAGGCGAAGCTGGTCTGTACCCCTGGGGAGCCACACACATCGATGGGCCGTTTTCCTGACAGAACGTCAGGGTGCAGGGGTGCACAGCTATCAGCCCAGGCACAGATGGCGGGCATCCCCTTACACTTAAGTCCCCCCCACCCCCCACCGAGGGCAGCTCCCACAGCAGCCCCCCGCCACTGAGCCTTACCTTCATCATAGTGTCTCCGGGCCTCGGTGCCTGGCTCGGCCCTGGGCACACCCTGGTACAGCCCCTCACCCACGAAGTCCGTGTAAAACAGCGTGAAGGTCATGAATGCCATCCAGCTGCACAGCTCAGCCACGAAGAGTCGGCGCAGGGTGCGCGGCACGCGGCAGCAGAGCTGGTGCAGCCGGGGAAACAGGGCGCCCAGGTTCCGGACGGCCAGGCGGGCGGGACACGGGCAGCAGTGGGCTGCCCTGGAGAGGACCGACGAGCCTTCCACGGGCTCAGCTGGGCCCAGTGCGGCCTCCTCGGCTACAAGCAGCGTGGCTGCCATGCAAGTGAGGAAGATGAGAGTGAGCAGGCCGAAGAGGCACTCTTCCTGGGTGCCCAGGTAAGGGGCCAGGGCGCTGGCATCCCAGTCAATGGCAGGCAGGAGGTAGCCCAGGCAGCCCCCAAGGCTGATCATGAACGCGTAGACGGAGAAGGCCTGGCGGCAGTGGTCTGGGTCCCGGAAGAGGTCGGAGAGCAGGGCCTCCAGCGGGGTGAAGCACACCTGGCCGCAGAAGTCCAGCAGCCCCACGCCCAGGATCAGCAGTGCCAACTCCAGGGGCCTGGGGTCCGGGCACAGCAGCCCCGCCAGCCAGCTGGCCCTCGGGATGAGAAAGAGGCTCAGCAGCACGCCCAGGGACAGGGCCCAGATGAAGGGCCTCCGGCGGCCATAGCGCCCACGCCAGTGGTCACTGGCTGAGCCTAGGAGTGGGACCGAGACCAGGCCCAGCACTGGACCGATGCCTGCAAGAAGGGCAAGTAGTATGAGCCAGAGGCTGGGGTCCTGAAGGGGCAGGGGGAAGGGGACCAACCTCCTTGAGAAGGGTGGAAATAACCATGATACTATCACAGGGAGGATCGAACCTGTGCTGGGTACTATACTGAGCACTTCAGAGACACTAATTTACTCCTCACAGCTAGCATCACTAACGCCCCATTTTCAGATGGGGAAACTGAGGCATGGAGCAACTGATAAGTGATACCTGTGTCCAGACACAGGGCTAGGGAGGGTGGGAGGCAGGGCTTTAATAGGTGGTCTGACTCGAGAGCCTATAATCCTACGGAGCCCCTTCTTCCTGGGAGTCAGACGATGCTGGCCATTTGCCTTTTGTGGCTTTTGCAAAATTCATCTGCAGTTGAGAGCCCAGCCCCCGACCTACAGGTAAGAAAGAACCCTGGCTGGGAGAACCTGATCCTATACTCAGTAGCTAGCTTACAGCCTGGCTAGTCAGCTAACTTCTTAGAGACCTCCACGATCTTCGCCATGGACTAAGTAACCTCAGAGGCTTGCTGCAAGCATTAAATGACATAGTAGATAGAAACGAGAAAAGGGCTGGCCAAAGGGGAAGGGCCATTTCTAGTGTCTCCTATGAGCCAGTCATTATGCAGGGGCCAAGGGTACAGAGGTGACCAGGGCATGTCCCTGTCCTCTTTTCTTCCTCTTGGGACCTCCTCAGCCCAGCGTCACCCCTGCCCCAGCCACACCAACCTAGCAGACAGCCACCTCTCCCTCCAAGCAGCTCTTTGGGCAAAGGCACTGTTGCCCTATTTCCAGGGGGCATGTATCTGGAACAGGAGGGCAGGAGGAGGTGGTGACTCACCCAGCACCATGGTCATGAACTTCTCTTCTACCCCCACTTCCAAAAGCAGGGGTGGCACGTAGGTGATTCCTGCAGCCAGACACACCTCCAGGCCGAAGGTCAGCAGGTTGACCAGCAGGAGCTGGGCCTTCCGATGCCGCAGCAGGCGGCTCACCCACAGCCTCTGGACCATGGTGGGCCAGGTGGGTAGGGCTCCAGCCCGGTCACTCGCTCCAGAACTGCTTCGTCCCAGCCCCGCTCCAGATGCCCAGGTGTCTCCTCCTCGCTGCCGCAGACTGCCCAGGACTCAGCCGGGAGCCCATTTCTGCCAGCCCTCCGTGCAGGTTCAGCTTCTCAGCCTATGCTAAATGCCTCTTGCTGTGGGCATGTTGGTGGGGACATAGCATTCAGGTCCTAAAGGGCAGGAACAATCAAACACCCTGCGTGTTAAGCCCCGGAAACCAGGTCTCCAGGATCTGCCCTGAATCCTGATCACTCCCAGGCTGATGCATGGCCACCCGGGTGCCACCCCTGCTGCCCAATCGAGAAATGCATGTTAATATTAGCCTAAGGCTGACATAATTAATAAGGTAAATATGACTTTTAAACCTCAGCACACACTGGAGCCAAAAGATGGCGGTTATTCTCTGTCTTGGAATTACCCTTGCAATGGCCCTCGCCTGCTAGTGTGGAAAAAGAAAAAAAAAATTCATACCAACTGAATTCCCAGATCCCCAGGCCCTGTTATCAAGGTGCCCCTGGAGACCCTCCACCAGGCAGGGCTTATTTGCTTCCCTCTCCATCTCCCAAAGCCGGCTGTTCAATTCCCCTTTGTTAAGAGCAGCACTTCCTATTCTGCGGGCCTGGCCCGGAGCCAGGTTGCACCAACTCCCACCCCAAGGACAGGACCAGGGGGAAGGAGGAGAGGCTGTGGTTTGCTGCGTTGGGTTGAACTGTGTCACTGACCCACTGAAAGAGCGATTCTGGGGAAGAACCTGGGCCTGCAAACCTCCCCCTTAGTTTCTTCCTGTGCTCAACATTCATGGAGAAGAAACATTCCCACGCCTGCTGCCCGTCTGTCACGGGACAGTGGGGCCACCGTGGGGCCAGGTCCCAGCCTCACAGGGGCGTGAAACCACACCAACTGTCAGCAACTGCTATGCCCCTGTGACCCCCTGGCTGGCAGGATGCCCCACCACTTCCCCTAGCCACCTTTCTCTGCTCCCCAAACAACTTCGTTCTCAACAGGGAAGTCCCGCAGCCCTTCCTTCCAGGTGAGATCCGCTGGGGAAGCACCCACCCTGTGGTGCCCCCCGCAGCTGGCCTCCAGGTGGTGCTTTATAACAGCACTGACTACAGTCTGCCCTGTTCAGAAGTGACCACAAAAGAGGAAGCCACGAAGAGGAGGTACAGAAGGGGGGCACCCTGGTGTGAACAGGCAGAGTCCCCTAACGTGTCGTGCATTTCAAAGGAGGTGGGTGCAAAAAAAAAAAAAAAAAAAAGAGGTGGGTGCAGAGTGTCAGGCCACTGGTGGCTGGAGTCAGGAGTGCCTTCCCTTGCCTGCCCATTCAATCCTATAAACGCTGATGACAGCACTACTCCCGTGTGAAGTCCCCAGTGGCCGAGGGCCAGGGGCCCGTCCCAGGAGCACCCTCAGCCTTCACTCAGCCCCTCTTGCACTGTCCCCCAGCATCTCGTAATCTGGCGCTTCGACCGCTTTTATCTTTGCAGATGACACTTGGCCCCACAAAGCCTTGCATGTTACCAACCCTGCGGTAGGTGCCCTCTGCGCTGTGCCACAGAGATTGGGCGACTATCGACCCTAAGACATCTCCATCCCCAACTGCCTTCTGGGGTGTTGCAGCTGGTAGATCAGAAAGGAGGGCTTCAGATAAGGCTGAGCAACCTCCTCCCCCAAGTTCCACTCAGACCCAGACCATCAACTTTGGGAAAAGGCACATACTCAGTGCATGGGAGGAGAGTAAAACACTGGCCCCCAAGACCCCCAAAGGGGGTAGGGGTACCATACATCAGTCTCAGCTGGGCAGTTGTGGGTTCAATAAAAGCCAACCCTCTCCCCGGTGGCTGCATCCCCATAGCACCCCCAGAAGGAAAGCAGTAGATGGTACAGAGACCAGGGGTGCTTTCCAGCTTGGAAGGAGGGGTTCTGGGTCAAAAGGCTTCCAGCCCATTCCACTCCCTGTCTTCAGCCTGGGTGGACGTGACACTCACCTGCTCTGGGTTTTTAAGGACCAGGTCCTCCCTGAGCAAACAGAAGCAGTCAGACCCAGCCTCACCCACAACCTGCCCATTTCCAAGCCCTGGTGGCTCTCTGCTTAAAACAATCACAGCTCCCCAGCAACTATTAATCACCCCACCTGCCTCCCTGCTTCCCTTAATCCAGCTCCTTGGCCCACAGGGGAGAAAGATGAAATGGGGTGAAGAGAGGAATTTCCCCTCACCCACCTACAACCTAGACAGCCCATTAGCTGCCTCCCCCTCCTCAGCACCTCTCCCCACCCCCAGAGGCTCTACCTGGTGAGGAATTCATAGAAAGGAGTTGGTTAGGAAGTCGGCTGGCTCCCAGGCCCGCTCAGCATTCTGTTCTTCGGTTGTTGAGCCCGTCCGCCCCCTTTTGATTGCTACTGTGCCCTGGGGTTCCGGGCACCCCCAGCACCCTCAGGCGTTACTCTTTCCTGCCTGGAAATGCTTGAGGAATTCCAAGCCCAAAAGAATGCTCTGCCTCCCAACGCCCCCTTTTCTCCTCCTGACATCTCCCACTGCCCCAGTCTGCCCTCGTCTTCCCCACGCCGGGCCCCTGGGGTGGAGGAAGTGACGGAGGACACCCACAGCAGTGACAGTCCCTCCAGGCCTCCTTCCCTGGAAACACAGCGAGGCCAGGCCCCCGGGCTCCCAAGCCCAGAGAGGTGGGAGGACAAGAAGGGGTTCACTTCGGCTACACTCCCACAAGCAGCCCCCGGGCACACTTAAGGCTAAAACTTGAAAGTGATGACGCACTGCCAAGTCCGATTGGGGGAGCACCCGCCCCCAATCAGAGAAACAGGGAGGGAGACAAGATCCAATTCTCCCCTCCACCCTCCAGTCTCAAAGATGTTTGGGACTCAAGTCTCCTGCCCACTGTTCCTGGAACACCCTCTCCCTGTCTGGCAAACAGAAGATCAACCCGAGGAGCCAAGCTCCTGAACACACCTGGCGGGGAGGGGCAGGAAGGAGAGGGAGGTGGAGGTACTCCAAGGGGGAGTGGGGCCTGACCTCTTGAAAGGAACAGTGGCCTTCTAGGACCAGACCCTCTCAAGTTCCAAATGTCTTCCCTCTTCTCTTGGCCCCTGACGACAGGACAGCCAGAAAGCTGGAGGAAAACCAAGACCCCGAGAACGTTCCTGGAGCCCGCCTCAGCCAGGGAGCCAAGATCTGGGCAAGACTAGTGAACGTGCATGCTAGCTGCCCGGCTCCACACCCCCAGAAACCTCAACACCGCCTGTGCTCCAGCGAGGCACCCCCAGCAGGCCAGCACCCCAGCAGGCGGTGGGCTGGGCCACAACACACTGCAGGGTAGGGCCCAGCAGGGAGTGTGGGTGATGAACCTGGGCCACAGCAACAAGCTGGGTCTGAACTTTCTCTGAAATGTTGATGACAGAGTGGAGGAGGCAGGAGGAAGGCAACCAAGCCCACTCTGGTAGCTCCCTAAGGAAGGGAGGGTCCGAGGGACACATAAAGGGGCCTTTGAGAGATTTCAGAGGGGCTCCTGCCACCCGCACGCACAGCCTAAGTGGAGCTGTGGGGACAGAGTCGCTGGGCTGACACAGAGGCCAGAGGGAGCCCGGCTGGGGCAGCCCCGGCCAGTGTCAGGCGGCAGCTCTATGGCCTCTTTATTTGGGCCAGCGTCCCCACACCCCGCCCAGGCACATCAAAGGGCGGCAGCCCTGTCCTGACCCTGCCTAGCTGGCGACAGGGCCCTCTCCTCCCTCCACACTCACAAAGACAGCGGCCTTTCTCCCAGCTCCTGGGAAGCAGGCTCCACACCCCACCCTCCCGCAGAGGAGGAAACAGGACAGGGCAGGCTGGCCAGAGGGGTAATGACTCGGCAGAGCGAGCGGGGTTACTCCAGGCTAGTCTCCCCGGTACACCACCCCACCCCAGGCTAGCGCACCCCAGGCCAGGACTGAGGGTGGGACACAAACTTCAGGTGGAGGCGGCAGGACTTCAAGGTTAGAAGGGCCCCCATTCCTCCACATAGACCTGGACCCCAGAATCTGATTCCAAGTTGAGCTCTCCCAGGCCCTCTAGGTTGGGGGCAGGGAAGAGGTCCGAGAATTCACCAGGCCAGCTGCCCTGTCGGCCACCCCCTTGCCTCAGTCCCTAGGGACCAATGTCCTCGGCCTTACCTAGTAAAACCCAGCAGGCTGCATTCCCGAAATGAGCCCCACCCTCCCGGCAGCTCCACAGGGAGCCTGGAACGCCCCACAAAGAGGTCCCCATGGCCAGTCAGGAAGCCTGCAAATGCGCGTCCTTGTGTGGCCATGAGCCCGCAACTGTGACAGAAGCCCTGGTCAGGAACGAGGTGCCGTGGGAACTCCTACCTGGGCGCTGGGTGGAAGGGGCACAGGCTAGACTGCGTGGCTTCAGTGCCCTCCAGCCCATATTAGTCTTTGATTCTCTGGGCTCAAATCCTTCCCAAGAAGGGGGGTCTGCTCTTCCTGATCCCGCCCTATAAAAAGGCAGCAACGGGCTCCGACAGCCAGGGCCACGACTTCTCAGGGCTCCCAGACACCTGAACACACCACTCAATGCAACTCTGCACCTGATGGGACCGAGAGAGAATAAGGGCCAGGCAGAAGGAGAAAGACCAGTCCCCTCCCAGACTTGCTCCCGGGCTCCGGGCTCCCGCCGCCCCCGGGGCCCAGAGGCCAGGGATTTAGTTCGCCTGCTGCGCGGCCTTTTCTTCACTGGGACTGGAAGCCTTCTGCTTAGCAGCTTGTCAGAGAGAGTGAGGGGGCTGCAGGCTGGGACACAAAGGGGGATTAGGGAGAAACCTCTAGGCCCGCAGAGTAATCCATCAAACTCTCTCCGGGCTGCCAGCACCAGCCCCTTCCCACTCAATTCCCCTTCCAGCTGCTGTGGGCCCCCACCCCCTCCAGCTCATGAGCCTGTCATGTTAGGCAGCAAAGAGAATCCCAGGCCCTGGGGGGCCAGAAGGGGCACACCACAGACACTGGGAAAAGGGCAACGGTTCCCTCCCCGCACTCACCCCCAATGTGTGAAAACCCAACAGGTGGCAGTGGCTTGGAGGAAAGTTGCTTTTGTTGCCCTGTCTGGGAGCCCCAGCCCAGCTTCTGAAAGGGAACAAATGCGGAGCAGGTTGGGGGAAGGGAGGGGAAGGACAGTCCCTGGAGAGCACTCTGAGCTCCCCTCCCCTCTCCAGCGCCGTGACAGGCCTGACCCTCACCTTGGCTGGTCAGTCACAGCCAGCCTACGCAGAGGTGAAGCACCCCTCCCAAGGGTCACCTGGCAAGCCCATGGTGACAGTCAACACAAACGCACATCGGACTCCAAGCCATGGGTCTCCCAACCAGACTTCCTTTCTGAGAACAGCTGTGACCCGAGGTCACACTGAGTCACCTTGACCAAGTATCCTCCAAGCCAAGACAACCTGTATTGTTCACCCTGGAGCTCTCTCTTCCACTCCAGGGGCCATGACCTCTGAACCTGGCAGATCCTGCAGGGTGACCTAAACTTGGCCATCAGCCTGGCCCGGTTGGCATGCCAACACCACCACTTCCTATGGCTGTGGGACCTTGTTGATGGTCCTCCCTGAGCCTCAGTTTTCTCATCTGCAGTTGGTAATACAGCTGGCATCAAGACAATACATGCCGGGCACTCCTGCAAGCACCGTAATCTTCCAGCTGCCCGATGAGGTGGGTACAACGAAGACCCATTTCATAGGCAAGAAAAATAAGACCAACTTCATAGCTGTGCAGTGTGTTTGACAGAAAGTTTATGGAAATTCCTGGCAGCCTTTCTTCAGTTGTCCGAACTTCCTCAGTGGAGCAACCTGGGAGAAGGCCTTCCCTTTCCCAAACAGGAGCAGCAGAGGTCAGAGGGCGACCAGCTATCCCTTTATTCTCCCTTCCATTCTCCTCTCAGCTTGGAGCCTCCCCCACCCACACCAGCGCCTCTTTCAGCCCCCAGAGGCAAGAGGAATGCCAAGAATGTAAATGCCTCCCCAGGTGCTGGCCCCAACAGGTGAGCAGAGGTCACTGCAGTAGACCTGCCTGCTGTGGAGGCTGTGAAGGCAGGTGGAGGGAAGGATATTATAAGATAGGGTGGTTCCCATCCATGGGGGAAATCATCACCGTGGCTGATACCTACTAACTGTCCAGGAGGTGTCTGGCATGTGCTGGGTAACTGACATACCTTCTCTCTAATTCATACCATTTGTACAATCCTACAGAGTCGGTACTTTTTAATATTTCTATTTCACAAGAATGATAATTGAGAAATCCACTCACATGCTCAAAGTTGCACAGATAAAAAGGGTTGAATAAAAATTTCAAACCGCCTGGCCAGTGTGGCTCAGTGGCTGAGCATCGTCCCATGCACCAAGAGGTCACCAGTTGGATTCCAGGTCAGGGCACATGCCCAGGTTGTGGGCCTGATCCCCAGTGAGGGGCATGTGGGAAGCAGCCAATTGATGTCATCTCTCATCGATGTTTCCATCTCTCTCCCCCTCCCTTCCTCTCTCTCTAAAATCAAGAAAGAAAAAGAAATTAAAACCATTTGAAAATTCTCGAAAATGCTCTGAACTGGGAGCCAGGACAGTGTAGTTCAGTTTCAGCAACTTTTATAGCTATGTAGCCTGGACAAGCCTTTTCACCTCTCTGGGACTCAGTTTCCACACCTGTAAAATGAGAACTAGTCTAGATTCTGTCTCGGGTTCTTTACAACTGTACAGCTATATGATCTCACACTCACCACCACCACCACCACCTTGCCCAGGCAGGGTGCTCACTGTGGACAGGTGCCCACTGAGTGCGCACTGACAAGGCCACATGGCATGGTGGTAGAGGGGTTTCATAGCCCTCCTTCAACGAGCAACAAGGAGAACTGGGTGGAGAAGAGCCCCTCCCCCCCTCACTCCTGCAAAAACCCCTCCTTCACCTGCCTTCACACTGCTCAAGTACAACAGCGTGCCAAGGGTCAGCACTGAAACTGAGCCACGTAACCAAGACACCAGGGAGCAGAACTGCCCTCTTCCCTGCACCCTTCCAGAGCTGGACTCTGTTTCTGCCTGAAATTAGTAACCAAATTCTTCTCTACTTGGGCCACAGTCAGGGTTTCCCTACAATGTGGGGCAGTGGTCCCCAGAAATCCCTAAGTGCAGAGTGGGAAAGAGGACATGAGAGAGCGGGGAGCTGGGCACGTCCTCCGAACCGCTGGGAAGTTCACTGCCCCTGTTCCCTTTTCTTCCTACAGCCCCTGCAAAGTGAAACCCGAACTGGCCTCCCTCCGAGTGAACTTGAACTTTGCCAGGCAGCCAGTCCAGGCAGCTTTCCCTATCTGTGCACAGATGACCCTTGTCCCCTACCTACAGCCTGACCTCCTTAGAGGTGAGGTGTACAGGAAAGAGGCTGGGGTGCAGAATCTGGGCAGACCCACAGGTGAACAGAGCAGAGATGGGAGTCATACACAGGTGCTGGTCCCCGCTCTGCCATGACCCACCTCTAGGATCTCAAATCTGATGGTCTCTAAGGACCTCTCAGCCCTGGTATCCTAGGGCCTGTGACCAGCCCCATTTATCAACAGAGGGCCCTGGGCAAGACTCAGTCTTATGGACATGTGTTCTCAATAATAATCACTCAGTGGTCAGCAAGGTGCAAGCAGGCTCCAAAAGAGACATTATTGTTGTTGTTGTTGTTGTTGTTAAAGAGCCCTAGTTTGCCCACCCTTGGAGGAGATATGCCTCAGTATGTGCAAACTAACCTCTCCCAAAGGAACATCAGAGAATCCAAACTCACCCACTATCCATGCAACACTTACTGAGCCCCGATTATGTGACAGTCCGCTGTGAAGGTGCTGGGGACCACGGACTGCAGCCCCTGTTAATAGAAGAGACATCATGCAGTCAGAGTGCGGTGAGGTGGTCCAGGTACAGAGACACAAGTCCCTCGAGTCCAAGCTCTTCTAGGACTTCCTAGAGGAGGTGGCCACGCTGCTGAGCCTTGAAAGATAAGCAGGTGAGGACTGCACAGAAAAGGGTAGATATCCGGTTGCAGTTTGTCCCCGGCCCTGGTTGGTCGTGCGGGTGGCAGCCACTCGATGTGTCCCTTCACATCGATGTTTCTCTCTCTCTCTCTCTTCCTCTCTCTCCCTCCCGCTCTATCTGAACAAAAAATGGAAAAATGTCCTCGGGTGAGGATAAAAAAAAAAAAAAAAAAAGTACAGAAAAGGGTAGATATCTGCAGAACACAGCCACTGGGGGCTGGGACTCCCACACCCACCCAGCTCTCCGCTGGCCCCTCCCAAGCGAGGTGTGGTAGAAAGGATACCAGACCCAAAATCATGGGACAAGTCTGATCTCAGATCTGGGTGCAGGATGAGGATATTCACCAGCACTGGACCCATTTTGGCCTCCAAAGGAGTCATCGTGCTTCAGTCACCGGCTCTCCACTGCCTCTCACCCGAGCCCTGCCTGCTCATACCCACATCTCCAGGGCTGCCTGGAGCCCAGCCTCGCCTGTGCTCACCCAGCAGCCCTCAGGGCTGGCTACTGATAGCTCACAGTCCTCCTGGTCTGGCTTGCCGTCCTCCCCTGCCCACCACCCCTCTAGCCCCTCGGGAGCACAGGCCCTGCCCAGACCCTGAGAAGAGGGGTACTCAACAGAGGGCCTCACAGGTGAGGCTGGGTCAGGACTCCTGTCTGATGGGATGTAACTGGCGTTCCCAGGATTCATGGCAGGCCCCATGCAAGGTTTTCAGGTGCTCGGCTCTCTCTAATGACTGGAGCCAGGAGTGGGGAGCTATATGGTCACATCCCCAGGAAGGGGTCAGGTGCTGCCAGCACGGACACTATTTGTCAGCTCACAGGACACTTAAGATCAGAGGCAGGGGGCACGGCAGAGAGCACTGGGAAAGGGGGCTGCTGCCTCAGGCTGGCTGCTCCTGAGAGCACCCTATCTGGCTAGGCATTCAGCCTGGACTAACTCTGGTGACTGCAGGACTGTGGGGCTATGGCATCCTTCTTGCGATCGCATCCCAGCTTCCCAGAGACCAGTCTCCAGAATTAACAAGGACAGGAGGGAAATAAACATGTATTGAGCTCCTGGTCTGTGCAGGCACTTTGCCAAATGTACCTATCTCATTTCATCCTCACAGGAACCTTGCAGGTGAGTATTATCATCTCCATTTTACAGACTCTGAAGCCAAGGCCAACAGGTGAGAAAGGCCCATCTCCAACATCAGAAGCAAGAGGCCCCGCAAGTCATTCAGGGTCAGTGACACTTCTGCCCATGGAGGAGGAAACAGACCATGCAGGAGAAAAAAGGATTCAACAGGAAGTTCTGGCTAGCTATCAGGACCATCCCATGATGGCTCTGTTACCAGCCCCTACCCCCAAACAGGGACACTTAATACACTGGACAAAGCTCCACACTCCAGCTCTACTGCTGGGAGTCAAGTGGCATCAGCGTTTGAGACACCGGGCCTGGTACCAACTGGTCCTGCCTCTACCCTCGCTGTTCAGCAAACAGGGCCACTGACTGTTCAAAGAAAAGCTAGGCTGGGTTTTTCTTCCAGGCACCAGAAAGCAGTGCATAGGATCCCACTAGGGAGGGAAGACGGAGCTGAACCCACTTTCAGAGCACCCCCTCCCTACCATACAGTTTCCCCACAAATCACAACAAATAACCTTTCTGCATAAAAGGCTCTTTTCAGAATATGATTCATCTCTATCACCTCATGATTTACTTCCATCACCACGAACTTGAGGAGGTAAGGGGGAAAGGGGTTACTGGACAGTTTTAAAAAATAAGTCACACCCAATACTGACAAGGAGCGACCACGAGTTCAACTGCATCGTGTCGTTCACAGCTTACCTGTAGTTCTATATATTTTTAATTCTTTTATCTTTATTGATTTTAGAGAGAGAGGAAGGGAGAGGGAGAGAGATAGAAATGTTGATGAGAGACAACATCAACTGGCCGCCTCCTGCATGCCCCACACTGGGGATCTGGCCCACAACCTGGGCATGTGCCCTGACCAGGAATCGAACAGGTGACCTCTTGGGGCATGGGTCAACGCTTGACCACTGAGCCACATCGGTGGGGCTCACCTATAGTTATATATGGCGTAATTCCTAGCCAAGAAACTCTGGTCTCTAAGTGTAAACCACAATGACTGCCTCCATTGTCCCAAAACAGCAGCAGCTGACGCTCATCAGGCTCTTCTTACCTACAGCTGCTGCGTTCGGAGCTTTACCTGTATTAGCTCATTTAATCCTCACAACACTGTGGGTGGGTAATGTTATCCTCATTCTAAGAGGAGGAAGTGGAAGCACAGGGAGGCAAAGTGGCTTTCAAATGAGGAAATAGGCCCTGGCCGATTTGGCTCAGCATTTAGAGCATAGGCCCCGGGACCAAAGAGTCTCAGGTTCGACTGTGGTCAAGGGCACGCACCTCGGTTGGGATTCAACCCTAGCCCTGCTCAGATTGTGCAGGATCCACCCAGTCAATGTGTCTCTCTCACGTCGACGTTTCTCTCTCGCTCTCCCCTCTCCCTCTCCCTCTCTCGCCCTCCCTCTCTCTTCCTCCTTCCCACTCTATCTGATGATAAATAGAAAAATATCCTTGGGTGAGGATTAAAAAAATGTTTTTAATTTAAAAAAAAAAAAAGAGGAAATAGGATTCAAACCCAGGCAACTGGGTGCTGGAACTCAGTCTCTTACCTAGTCAAAGTGACTCCCCAGAGTCCAGGAGAACTTGCTCCCAAAGAAACAATCTACAGCAAAACCTAAGAATGGAGTCTCGGGCTGGGTGCTGCTGTCCAGTCGGTCACGAGTGATAGACATACTGGATATGGTTAATAATAGCTAACATTTATTGAGCACTTATTTCCTACCAGGCATACAGTCAGTCAGTCCCGTGCTCTATATGTGTGATTTAATAAAGCTATATTGTTGCCCTGGCCAGTTTGGCTCAGCGATTACAGCATTGGCCTGCAGTCCGGAGCGACCCGGGTTCGGTTCCCGCTAAGGGCACGTACCTCAGTTGCAGTTTGTCCCCGGCCCTGGTTGGGTCGTGTGGGTGGCAAACACTCAATGTGTCCCTTTCACATCGATGTTTCTCTCTCTCTCTCTCCCTCCCTCCCACTCTATCTGAACAAAATGTCCTCGGGTAAGGATAAAAATAAATAAAATAAATAAATAAATAAAGCTATATTGTTCATGTTTTATATTATATAGAACTATTATTTCCAAATACTTATATTTGTTATATTTATTATTGAATAACTAATAAAGCTATACAGTAGGTATTATTATTAGTATTATCATCATTCTCATTTTGCAGCCAGGGACAGTGAAGCTTAGAAGTTAAGTAACTTGTCCAACATTCCATAGCTGGTAGAGCAGCCAAGATATAAACCCTGTCTTTCTGACAGTCTGGGTTTTTATCCATAATGTTGTGCTATTAGACGATAATGGTCCAGATAATAGTGCTTAATTTCACTTTTGGAGTCCTCAGTCATCCCCGCCTTTCTGCTTTTTCTCTCCAGAGGCCTGGACAGGATAAGAAAGGGGAATCCACACCATCCCTCCACCACCCAGCGGCCTAGAAGGACTTCAGTGGGCCACCAAGGACCATTGTCCAGCTCCTCCTCCTCCTCCTTTTCCTTCTCTTTCAAGGTAACTCAGAGGGCCAGGAGAGCAGAGGAGTTCACCACACACTCCATGAGTACATAGGAAAACTCCCTCCCCACCCTCCACTAAATTGGGGCCTGCGTGTCCACAGCTGCACATTCATCCACAGCTGTATTTTTATCTTCAGACTCATCCTGCTGACTCAAGCTCCATTTTTCTGAGCACTTTTAGAACAACAGAGTCCTGGCTCCATGACAGGCCTGGGGGGAGGAGATAAGGGAGGAATGAGGGAATGGGACCCATCCAACTAAAGGGCCTGTGACCTCACAAATGGTCCCGTTCACTCTCTAGGAAAAGCTGTTCTATGGGTTTCCTCAGGCTTCCCATCCAGCCTGCACCTCCTGGCCCCTGCCTTCCCCACCCCCATAAGCAGCCTGTTCCCCAGGTCTGGGGCAGGTGGGTCCACACCAAGGCTGTCTGGTTCTGAAGGGAGGTGTGCTGAGTGCATCAGAAGCAGCAGCCAGACCCCAGGGCATCACCCCCACCCCTGAGCAATGCTTCCAGGAGCCCAGCAAGGATCACTCTGGGCCCTGGTCTACTGGCTATGCCCACCTGTGGACTCCAGGGCAGCAAGACAGCAGCTGGGCTATGCCTTCTCCCTGCTCCCCTGGGACCAGGTCTGTATAGCAGCTGAAGGGCAAGTCCTCACCAGGTACCCACCATGCCAAACCTCTCCCTACCCCCAACTCTGGCCTCTTGAGAAAAGAGGAAGCACGGGAGGGAGTGGCCCTGGGGAGAAGGAAAAGCTGAGTAGGTCAAGAATGTCAGGAAGATGGGAGATGATTCAGAGGTCAAAGGCAAGAGCAACTCACAGGGCTCCAGGAGACTATGGGAAGGTCTGACCCTCATGCTGGAGAATCCCTGCCGGTCCCTGAGGACTTCTCCAGCAGGTGAGCCCCTGCCTAAGCCCTGCAGAGCTGTAGCAGGGACCCAGGGACCACCTCATCACACCTGTTTGCAGATCTCAGCTCCTCACCAACTCTACCTGAGCCCTGGCAGGCAGGAGAAGAGAGCACTCAGCTCCTCTCTCCCCTCCTTCCCGGAGGGGTAACCGAGGCTGAGAAGGAGCAGAGGAACCCACGCGCGCGCGCGCCCTCCCGCTGCAACTCCCTGCGCAGAGCGTGGCCCCAAGATTAATGTCCCAAAGAGCTCAGTCACCTTTCCCGCGGCGTCCCGGCCGCCAGCCCCTTTCCCGGCTCCCAAGTCCGGGACTGGGCGCCGCGGTGACTCATCCTGCCCCTTTCCGGTGAAGCCGAGACAAGGGAAGAAAATACATGCAACTTTCCAAAGAAAACTCGGACGCGGGAGGTGCAACAGGAGCGAACGCCCGTCCGCCCGCCCGCCCGCCGCCGCCCGACCGGGGACGGCGGGGCCCGGCGCCTCCAGCCCAGCCCGCCTTCCACCCAGAAAGAACAGCCCTGCGGGGACCCGAGCAGGCGCCCCGCACTCCGCAGCCCGGCCGCCCGGCCACCTCCTCTGGGACTCGAGGGGACGCGGCGCCCAGACGGCCACCGCGCGGTCCCAGCCCGCGGGGCGCGAAGCACGCGACATCGCGGGGCCGGGCCGGGGCGCGCAGCGCCCTTCCCCTTCCCGCGCCGGCCTCCGGTCCCCTGGGAGAAGAGGGGGCGCGCCCCTACCTGGCTGTCACCACGGCCCGCGCGCTCGAGCTCGGCCTCCTCCTGCCCCCACGCGCGCCAGCCGGCGGCTTTTAAATCTCCAGGTTACTCCGCGGGGGGAGAGAGCATGCGCGCTGGGGCTGCCAGGAGGGGGCGGGGCGAGGCGGCCGGAGGGGGGCCGGAGGGGGTCCGGAGGGGTGGGGTGGTCCCCAAGCGAAGAAAGCGCGAGGTCTCCAAGCTGTCTTTGTAGCCGCGACCGCGACGGGCAGCCCCCGCGTGGCTCCCAGACTGCCCTGTCATTACCTAGGGCAGTGCACCGCCCCCTCGCCGCTCACCACCCAAACATTTAGGTAAAAGCGACCGGCACCGCGGGGCACCTCCCCTCTCGGGAGCCAGTCTGTGACCATGACCTGCACGTGCTCTCCTGGCCATGCCCCTGTCCCCGGGCAGAGCAGCACCCCACCCATCCAGAACCAGCTCTTGGAAGGAGGTGTCACCTTCTCCCCGAGTTACTCTTTGTACTGTTTGCTACTCTCTGAGGCAGAAAGAGCTTCCTTATACCTAACTCAATACCCCTTTCTGAAGCTAAAAGCCACATTCCTTTTTTTTTTCCCCCTCCTTAGGGTGTGTATGAGGATGAGAGGTTGATACTTGCCAGTAAAATGTTCCCTTTGTCAGCTGCTGAACAAGGTCCCAACAGATACCTGTTTCCAGAATGCCTTGGACAAGGGTGGAACAATGCTGGTGGGAGGCAAAGAACTGGAGGCCCAGGCTGGCCTTGTGTCCTTTTCCTCCATGGAGTTTTATCAGGATGGATAAATCCAGCCGCTGTGGATTGTTGACTTGTGTACTACAAAACCACGGGAAGATGTCTCTGAAGGAACAACCGAGTTGGCTATAGGACTGAACTGAGCACTGGGGGCACTGGGTCCCAAAGCTGGCCCTGCCACCAACCAGGTGTGATGTGAAGTAAGTCCCCTCCTTATTTGGAGACTCTGTAAAAAGAAGAATTGGTGAGGTACTCTCTAAGGACACCTCCATCTGAGAGGCCAAGAAGAGTGGGAAATAGAGTAGAGACAGGGAACAGTGGAGCCCTGGCGGCCTGGGGAGCACAGAGCGGTGCAGGAGAGAGCAGAGAAGAGTCAAGAATCTGTTTTTGAGCCCTGGCCAGTGTGGCTTGGTTGGTTAGGCCTTGTCCAGTGTCTGAAAGGTTGCCTGTTCAATTCTGGTTGGGGGGTTTCAGCTCCATCCCCAGTAGGGTGTGTGCATGTTTCTCTCTTTCTCTCCCGTCCTCTCTCTCTAAAAATCAACTTAAAAAAAAAAAAAAAATCAAGCTTTTGAGTCACTAAACAAGTTTAACTTGAAAACTGGGAAGCACTTACTCCTCCAGCAGGTGACCCTCCAGGTTCCCAGTGGCTTTCCAAAGCCTTTGGCATACCCGTTTGTGGCCAACAGAGAGACGAGGAATCCTGGGTTGCTGAGCTGTGTCCCCACTGGCCCAGGAAGGAGGGCAGGAGTCAGGGGGAATTCCAGGTCAGTTGGAAAATTACAGAGCCCAGAGACTACACGTGGTATTTTCCAGGCTTGAGGAAAGAGCACTAGGAGCAGGAGGGAGTTGTTCCCCCTCAGAGCAGTAGGAGTCCCCCTCTCCCCTCCCTCATTTTTTGCCAGAGGCCTACATGGCTTTATGCCTTGTGAGCAAACAGCACGGTGTGAGATCTTGGACCCCACCCATCAGCCTGTTCACCTGGATGAGTGCCAGGGCACACCTCCCAAGTGCAGGTGACCCTTCTGTAACAAGGCAGGTGGATGCGCTCTCCAGGCCCTGCCCTGCACAGGGTGCTGTGAAAATGCTTTCTCCCCCTTTTTCTGCTGGCTAAGCCTCCTCGAGTAATAATAATAATAGTTAACTATTACTGATTGTGCCAGGCACTGTTCGAAATGCTTTTCATGTATTTACTCATTTAATCCTTATGACATGCAAGACATGGGGACTCTTTTCAGATAGATGGAGGCAATTCCTCAGGCCAAGCCCTACTCCCCGCCCCCTCACACACACACAGACACACAGTCTCTGGGCTCCAGGAACAAGGCAGGGGCTGCAATCCCTCATTTAGCCGGGCCAGTGACTCCAGAGCCCTGGAGAAAGTCCCAATAACCATAGTACTCCTCACAAGGCTGGGTCATTCTGGGCATGTAAATGCTTCTTTGGGCTTCAGTTCCCTACCATGTCAGTGGTAGGAAAACCATTATGTCCCTTTCCCTTTCTCCCTTCTCCCTCCCTCACCACACACACACACACACACACACACACACACACCCTACTCCCTAGCCACTTCCCATTTATAGGAAATGGGGGATGATGTGAGGAGCAAGGCCATCCTTGGGGAACTGCTAATAGTCTGAATGAATATTGGAGAAACCAAAGATGCTGGCAAAAATGCATTAGCAGCTTCTACTCCCCCCTCCCCCCACGGCCCCTTCCCATTATCCTTGGGCTCAGAGCAAGCATTGTTCTCTTTCTACAGAATAAGATACTTAGCTAGGCTGGTTACCCTGGAAGAAGGCTGAGAAACCATGAGGCACCTGGAGTTCTCTTGATGTTCTCATCTCTTCTTGCCATCTCCACCATCCAAAGGCTGTGGTCCCCTTTGAGGTCTCTTTGCTTCTTCCCCTGCCTGCCTTAGGGTCAGGGGTAAGCAGTCTTTTAAGTATAAAGGCCATTAGCAACCCTGGCCAGTTTGGCTCAGCAGTTGAGCATCGGCGTGTGGACCAGAGAGTCCCGGGTTTGGTTCCCGCTAGGGGCATGTACCACAAAATAAATAAATAAATAAATAAATAATAAATAAATAAATAAATAAAGGCCATCAGCAGGGCCAAATCCTGGCTATAGACTTGGAAGGGGGAGGGATGGCTCCCCTGGACACAATTCCATTGCTGGGATTTCCCTTGTGGAAAAATAATCAGATATGTATATCAAAAGTATGTGCATGATATTCATCCCATCATTCTTCATAATAGTGAAAAATGAGAAACAGTTTAAATATAGAATAATAAACTATTGGCTAAGCAAACTATAGCAAAGCCATATAATGGAACATTATGCTGCCATTAAAAGTGGTGATGTGCCCTGGCCGGTTTGGCTCAGCGGTTAGAGCCTCGGCCCGTGGTCCAGAGAGACCCGGGTTTGGTTATAGTTTGTCCCCAGCCCCGGTTGGGGTTGTGTGGGTGGCAACCAGTCGATGTGTCTCTCTCACATTGATGTTTCTCTCTCTTTCTCTTCCTCTCTATCTGAAGAGGGGGAAAAAAAAGTGGTGATGACACAAGAATTTTAATTGGCTGGGGAACTATTTATGATATATCACCAATGAAAACAACCATCTACAAAATAGTAATCACAGTGGGATATACACTCTTTTATAAAAGTAGTATTATTATAGTCCTGGCTGGTGTGGCTTAGTTGGTTGAAGCATTGTCCTGTGCATCAGAAGGTCAGGGGTTCGATTCCTGGTCAGGGCATGTACGGGAGGCAACCAATCAATGTATCTCTGTCACATTGATGTTTCTCTCTCTCTTCCTCCCTCTCTCTGGAAAAAAAAAAATCAATTAAAAGTAGATACATACTGCCTGGCCAGTAGATGCTCGGTAAATTGAGTGTCATCCCATGGACTGAGAGGTCCCGATTCGATCCCAGTCAGGGCACATGCCCTGGTTGCGGGCTAGATCCCCAGCGGGGGGGTGGGGGGGTGCAGGAGGCAGCCGATTGATGTGTCTCTCTCACATCGATGTTTGTCTCTCTATAAAAAGTCAATACAAAAACAATTAAAAACAAAAAAGTAGTTTTATACTAATATAACGTGATCTCTTGGACTGGATCTTGGAACAGAAAAGGGACATTAGTGGAAAACTGGTGGAAACGGAATAAGAACTGCAGTTTAGTAAAAAGTACTTCACCAGTATTAATTTATCAGTTTTGGTCATTGTACTATGGTTATGTTACAGGTGAAACTAGTTGAAGGGTACATGGGAACTCTTTAAACTTTTCTGTAAATCTAACATCATTATAAAAGTTAAAAAATTTTAATTATATACGTATATACAAAACATATAGTTTATAAAAGGCCACCAGCAGCGCCAAAGAGAGAGAAGAAATTATTTTTAAAAAGGCAGCCCTGGCCAGTGTGGCTCAGTTGCTTGGGCGTCATCCCATGCAACAAAAGGTTTTGGGTTCGACTCCTGGTCAGGGCACATGCCTATGTTTCGGGCTCAATCTCTGCTAGGGGGCTTGCAGGAGGAAGCCAATCAATGTGTTACTCTCATGTCAGTGTTTCTCTTTCTCTCCCCCATCCCTTCCTCTCTTTCTAAAAATCAATATTTTAAAAAAGGAAACATAACTGCCCTGGCCAATGTGGCTAAGTTGGTTGAGTGGCATCCCACGGACCAGGAAGTCATTGGTTCGATCCCTGGTCTGGGCACATGCCTGGGTTTCAGGCTCCATCCCCAGCAGGGGGCATGCAAGAGGCAGCTGAACAATGTTTCTCCTTTTCTCTTCCTCTCTCTCAAAAACAAAGCAACCCAAAACCTAAGATAATCTGAATAAAACATAAACTTAAAAAACAACAAAAAAAGACCTAACCAAAAAGTGACTACTGATTTTCTTTTCTTTTCTTTTTTTTAATTTTTTCTTTATTGCTTTTAGACAAAGAGGAAGGGAGAGGGAGAGATAGAAACACCGATGAGAGAGAACATTGATTGGCCGCCTCCTGCATGCCCCCACTGGGCCCCAGCTGTGTCAATTTGGCCCACAACCTGGGCATGTGCCCTGACTGGGAATCGAACCGGTGACCTCTTGGTGCATGGGTCAACGCTCAACCACTGAGCCACACGGACTGAGCAAATACTAATTTTTCTATTAATGGAAAGGATGATTTTTATTTGGGTGTGGGGAGAGGGCCAAGGTGGTGTGGGGTTGGGGTTGGGGAGCCCTAGGGAAACTTTTCTATATCTCAAAGTTTTCTATATGGATCATAAATTGCCTTTGTGAATAGAAAGAAAAGAATAAGTATTCTTTTTAAAGGGAAAGAATAAAATAAAACAAAGAAAGAGGAATGAGGATCCACCACTGGGCTGCCCCTAGTATGGACTACAACACCGCATTTCTGTCCAGAGAGCTGGGGTAAAGGAGGTCGGGGAGCTGAACAGGAGAACCCCAGCCCCCTCAGAGCCTCCTTACGCGAGACGTTTCGAATGGTTCCCGCGAAGAAATAAGATGCAGCAGAGTGAGAGAAGGGGAAGAAGGAACTGGAGGGTTATACGCACACACACCTGGCCATATTGCCACCGTCACCCAACACTCCATGGGCACAGAAGAGGAATTGAAACCGCTGAAGGAAGAACTGGCCAGCCGCATCTTCCCTCTCAAACCCCAAGCTTGGGAAGGACCATGGCCTCTAGTTCCCGAGGTTGCCAGGGTTCCCCTGACTGCCATTGCTAGAAGGTGGAACCTTAGAATTGCTGGTGAATGCAGCCCCTCATGACACAGCTGGGGACAGTCCAATCTGCATGGTGCCCCATACAGGGAAGTTTTAAAACAACAACAAACACCCTCTAGGGTACATCCTTCGGGAAACTTCCTCTGACCAGGGAAAACAGAAATCCTTCCACAAAGAGAACATTCCCCTGGCTTGAAACTTCCTTCTGAGCCTTCCCCCTGGCTCCACCCAGGTCCATGGGGAATGGGGGAGAGATCAAAACTGCCCCCAGGAGCAGAGGGATCCGGCTGAGCAGAAAGCTGGGGTCTCTGCTCATGGAAAGATGTTGACTTTTCTACAGGCAACATCCAAGTCAATGGAAACAAGGAATGGCTCCAGAGGGCCAACCTAGACCGAGGAGAGAGTCACGGGGAGCCAGACCATAGGTGAGTTCGCTAAAGGACAGGTCCCAAGCAGCTTTATTTATTTATTTATTTATTTTTAAAAGACATGAAGGAACTTTGTTTTTTATTTATTTATTTTTTTTATCCTCACCCGAGGACATTTTTCCATTTTTTATTCAGATAGAGCGGGAGGGAGAGAGAGGAACAGAGAGAGAGAGAGAAACATCGACGTGAAAGGGACACATCGAGTGGCTGCCACCCGCACAACCGACCAGGGTCGGGGACAAACTTCAACCGAGGTACATGCCCTTAGCGGGAACCGAACCCGGGTCTCTCAGTACCGCAGGCCGACGCAAAGCAGCTTTAAACAGATTCAGTGTGAGGGGCAGGGGGGCTCTGCAGCTCTCTCAGGCACCAGGTAAGGGGTGAGCCTGGATGAGCACAGTAGTCCTTTCCAGCTCTGAGAGTAATGGAACTCACCCCTCTCCTCTCAGAGGCTGAAACTGTGTCTGGTAGTCCCCCATATTTGGGGGGGGCGGGTTATCAGCAGAATGCTCTGAGTCCAGGAAGCCTAGTTCCAAGGCTAGAACTGGAGCTGCTCAGTTTTAGAAATTAAAGTAACTGGACAGATTGGGACTGGGGTTAGATGCTTGATGGGATTTGTGTCTGGGCAGTAAGGCGGAGGCAAAGATGGTAATGTTGTCCCTTACCTTTAAGATTTCAGGAGTGAACCAGATAATCTCCCTCCAAGTCACTAAACGGTAAAGACACCTAGTTAACTGGGCGAGGCTGTGAAATGCCTGGAGCAAGGAGGTGATTACTTCGCTGTGAATACCTGGAATTCTACTCTGGAGCTCAGATGCCTGAGGGGCTAACTCCAGGTGAGTTGAGAATGGGGAGGGACAGCCAAAGGCGACAGAGCTGCAGCTCCACACTTCCAGGGAGATCTTTCACCAGCTGGTCAGTGAGATGCTATGTGCTGTAGTAGAAAAAGGTCTCTGGGGCCAGACAGACCCAGTGCCACTTACTATGCATCCAGTCATTCAGTTCTCACTCGACATTTAGTAAGTAACACTTACGAATCCGGTTTGATGCTAGGATATGGTAACCTTATGCCTGCAAGTAAGTCATTTAACCTCTGAGTCTCCATTTTTATGCAGAGCCCTGGCCAGGTAGCTGGGTTGGTGGAAGCAGTGCCCTGATGCACCCAGGTTGTGGTTCAATCCCTGGTCAGGGCACGTACAACCAGTGTGGCTCAGTGGTTGAGCATTGACCCCTGCACCAAAAGGTTGCCAGTTCAATTCCTGATCAGGGCACATGCCCAGGTTGTGGACCAAATCCCCAGTGGGGGGCATGCAGGAGGCAGCCAATCGATGTTCTCTCTCTCATCAAGGTTTCTATCTCTCTCTCCCTCTCCCTTCCTCTCTCTCTAAAATCAATAAAGAAAAAAAAATTTTTAAGAAAAGTTTTTAAAAATAAATAAAAAGAAGTAACAGTGAATACATAAATAATTGGAACATCAACTCAATGTTTCTCTCTCGCCCCCTTTCTCTCTCTCTAACCAATAAATAAAAATTTTTAAATTTATGCATAAAGCTTATTGGGAATAATGCATGCTATTGTGTAAGTAGTGTACCTAGAGGAGAACTCAGTGCATATTTGTTCATTCTGTCCTGTGTACAAAATCCTAAATGAGATGCAGAAGGACATGCGAGGTACATCCTCTGTCCTCATGGAAGTTACGGTCTTCTCGGAGAAATAGCAAGTGGTGCAAAAATATTATTCAGCAACATGTCAGCAAGTGCAAGTTCTCAAGGCTCTGAACCAACTCCAGAGGTCTCACACGATTGGATTTCAGTGGGATAAACCCCGGGATGCAGGACAAAGCGGGGAAGTTGTGAACTGAGTGTTTGAGGCTGGTGACAGTGAATGATAATTACTTGTTTCTGTGCTGTACTTAACGGCTTACAAAGCACTTTCACAGATATCATCAGGCTTGATTCTCAAAGTCCCTCAAAGGTAGGCAGGTGCCGCCTCCTTGGGCAGATGGGGAAACTGGGGTCGAGTAACTTGCCCGCGATGGCAGAGCTGAAGCAAATGAGAGCCCTGGCATCCTGCGCGGCAGCAGAGGCCAAGGCTCGGCTCTCACTAAGTCGGCGCTGCACCTTGGCGGGGTGTTCCCACAGTTGCAGGCCCAGACAGAGCCCAGATCAGGAGGCAGAGGAGCTGAAAGGGGATTTGGTTGCCGGCTGTGACTGCACAGTCTTCAGAGTGGGAAAAATAGAGGGGTCAAGTGAGGGGCAGGAGTGTGCAAGGGAAGAGGCACAAGGTTTTGTTCCCATTTTTCCTGTGTGGCTGGCTTAGGCTGTGAGGCAGGAATACAAGGAGGATGCGTCTGCTATACCCATCATCAAGGGCTCTCACCCGATTTACTCCACCAGATGCAAGGAGGGCCAAACAAGAAGGAAAACACTAAAATTGCAGCAAGAAGGAATGGGAGTCAGACTAGAGAAGGGACTTCCCTGGGCATCTGAGATAAGATGTAAAATCTCTAACCTCCTTTCCCGAAGTGCTCCCTCCTTCCCAAGCTCTTGGAGTCCAGTGCAATACAGCCCAGGGATAAGGGATGGGTGAGGTGACGTGTGGCAGACCCCGCCCCATCTTGGGGATCCGATGTTGAGGATCCTGCAGGCTGGCTGCTTTTCCCATTCTAGAGGGATGGTCTGAATGTGCCAGGGGTTGTGGGGGATGGGCTGGGGTTGGAGTGACTTTTGGCAGGATTTACTGTACCTGGACCTATGTGTGTGTGTCTGAGGGTGAGGGGAGCTGATACTAATTTAAGTGGCTATAAAGCCATTCTCACGGTCCTGATGCAATGCTCAAGATAATAAGCAAGTGAGTAATTAGTAATTAGATTGTGAACTAACCTCTTGCCTCCGGGTATGGTACCACTTTTTCACAATCCGTCCGCAGGCCTGCGGGAAAGAGAGGACAGGGCTGAGTCCAGGGATCTGGGCAGGACCACCAGCGCCAGACTCTGGAGGAGCAGAAGGATTGGGGGGGGCACACATCCATCTGGGCTCCAAGGCCAGGAATGGGAGGGAGAACAAGCCACAAAATCTATATCCTAGATTTTGTTTGTTTTGTTTTATTCTTTTTTTTTTTTATTATTATTCCTCACCCAAGGATATTTTCCCACCTATTATCAGATAGAGTAGGAGAGGGAGAGGGAGACAGAGACAGAAACATCGATGTGATAGAGCCACATCAACTGTTGCCTCCCGCACGACCTGACCAAGCCCGGACAAACCGCTACCAAGGCACGTGCTCTTGACTGGAATCGAACCCTCGACTCATTGGTCCACGGGCCGATGCTCTACCGCTGAGCCAAACCTGCCAGGGCTATTTTGTTTTATTCTTAATTAATTTCAGAGTCCCTCTCAGGGCTGCCATGTCCAGTTGCACGTTAGTGCCTGAGCACCATCTCGCCATGTGCCCAGAAGATGCCGCCTTCCTTCGGTGAGAACTGAAGAGACAGAACACCAAGACATCCATCCCCCACCTGTCCAGAGCAGGCAACAGCAGCGAGCAAGCCCACCCCAGGTTAGAAGGTGCATGGAGAGGACACACAGAGGCCTGCGGTCTGCTTTTGGAGGGTCAGGCAAAGTTCTCCCTCCTCCTCCCTCCTCTTGTCAGTGACAGCCCCCAACACTCCTCCCGTTTGCATATTTCCCCCTACATTTTTACTTCTTCCCCAACCCCAGTTACTCTGTACTGTTGAACTCCATTGTTTCCTAGACTTTATTTGTATTTTCTTTTCTTAATTAACGTCAGAGTGCCTCCCAGGGCTGCCATGAACAGTGTTATTCACTGCACAAGCACAGCTAGGAACGGCTCGTGGCTGTACCTACCTTTTTCTAATAGCATAAAAGTGCTGGATGGGCCCTGGCCGGTTTGGCTCAGCGGTTAGAGCGCCGGCCCACGGACCAGAGAGTCCCGGTTCGGTTCCCGCTAAGGGCACGTACCTCGGTTGCAGTTTGTCCCCGGCCCCGGTTGGGGTCGTGTGGGTGGCAACCACTCGATGTGTCTCTCTCCCATCGATGTTTCTCTCTCTCTCTCTTCCTCCCGCTCTATCTGAAGATAAATGAAAAAGTGTCCTCAGGTAAGGATAAAAAAAAAAAAAGCTGGATGGACTGGCAGTAGTCCTAGCGCCTTTGGTGGACCAGACACTGTGCCCAGCCCTGAGAAGTGCTTCCTGTCTCTCCCTTCCTCCACTCTGTTCACTCTTCTCCTCCTATCCCCCTTTTCATCCTGTGCCCTCACCCACAATACACTCTCTGGAGACTCGGTCGTGTGCAAAGGTCATGGACTCTGAAGTTACACAGACTTGGGCCACTGACCCACTCTGCCCTCTCCACTGGTAAACGTGGGGAGAAGACGGAACCGTGTTGAGCCTAGATTGCCCTCAGTAAAGTGGGGGTATAGCTGCCATCCCGCAGGGCTGTGTGAGAGTCGGAGCGTCTTAGTCTAGTGCCTGACACAGCGCAGTAACGATGACTGTCCCGGTTCCTTCCCACCCCTGCCTCCCACCGCCTGCTCAGGGTCTGTCCCATCACCCTGCCAGTCTGCGCCTGGGTACCTAGTCCACAAACACAGGAGCTCCTTGCAGGTAAATAGCATCACTTGCAAAGCAGTTGCACAGCCAACTCGCATCTGCCTCTGCCGCTGTGAGAGGCGGGCAGGAAAGGTACCAGACTTACCAAGGGCCGTGCGGCTACCGAGTGGCAGAGCCGGATTAGAACTCAAGCCCATTACCTATGTGCTGAGCTCCCCAGGTGTCATGGGGGGGGGGCGGTTCTAGAACTTCACTGACACCTTCCAGGAATAAAAGAGGGGAGAGGCAGGTGACACCTGAAGTGCGCACATTTAACACCTGCCCAGCCCCCTCCCAGCCCTGAGCAGACGCCAGCAGAGGAGAGACAAGAACCAGGAGGAGCTGTCACACTGGCCTCGGCGGGAAGCAGACCACTATCTTCATCTAACTGCTGGGCTGACACAGGAAGGCTGGACCCTGTCGGAGAGATGCTGAGATCAGACCACAAGCAGGGCATAGTGGGAGCCTGTGATAGCATATCCAAGGCCTTCCTCTCCTCAGTCACATCTAGATTGTCTGTAACGTCTCAGCGATAGAGGCCTCCAGCCCCTCTCTGCGTGGGCCACGCAGGGCTGTTTATCTCAGACTCACTCAGTCACTTTGGGTCTGTCTCACTGTTAGTATAATGGGTAGGCTCACTGTCCACTGGGTCAGCGTGGGCACAAAGATCATAGCTCATTCCTCCGAACATCCCTTCCTGGGCTCTATGGTTTCAAAGTGGTTTCCTGTACATCATGTCATTTGGTCCTCCCGATGACATTGGGAGACAGGTGTTATTAAAGGAGGGAAATGTAAACTCAGAAAAGTAGGAAGTGACTAGCTTGGGCCACATGGCCACTCAGTGTTGGAGCCTAGCCTTGACCTCTAGGCCTCTGGCCATGTCTGATTCTAAGTGAGGTGACCCAAGGGGACAGAGGCTGCTGGGTGCTAAGACCTGAGCACACAGAAGACAGGACCGTGTCTGCTCTCTGAGAAGTCTTTGGTAAAAAGGGCCTTTTCTTCCTTAGAGGGAGTGGGACAGTGGTGGGCCCTTGGCCCCACTCCCCAGACTTCCCAGAGGTTGTGGAGGAAGGACCTGGAGAAGGAAGCAGGCGTTGGTTGCAATGGCACGCCCCCAGCTTGGGACAGCAGCCCGTGGCCCCTCCTGCTCCCAGCTTCCTGTTCATCCCCAGCACCCTGGCTTTGTATTCCTT